AACTGTCGACCTGCTGAAAGTTGCACGCTTAAGATCATAAACGGAAACTTTCAGACAAGACCTCAATAACATAACAACTTCAAAAAACGTGACATTGTTCGGGTTTCATGCGCAAGCCAAATCCCTCGAGTTCACAAAGAGCATAAAGCATTGAGGTTGAGAAATATGATTCATAAAGCAAAAGACACTTACTCAATCATATTGGAAGACCTATTGGCATATTGGTAAAACAAGTTATCTATACGTTCCATCTCCTTGGATGAGGCCTTACTCGAAGCTGAACCAACAAAAACCAACACAAAGTCAATCTAAAGCAAATGCAACAGCAAACTTGGCCTAAACTGTGAAATCGCAGAAACTATTACGGAACACCAGGACTTGAGACATGATACTCCTGATCAAATAGGATTAAGCAAAAGAGAACCGATCTTTCAGAAAATTCAATGGTTTGATTGAACAGCAATTTCAAGTACTGATTTTCCAAAGACAATCAGTTCAATTTCTATTACAGATGTATACAAATATATCTGAAGATATGTAATTGCTCATCATCATATCATAACCGTTATCAGCAACAAGTTTATCCATGCTTATGCACCTTTTTGTTTACCACCCGGAAACCCACAATCGGCTTATCAAAATTCACCTCAATTGTGAAATATAGCCAAAAAACACAGAATTACAAACATGGAACCAAAAGAAGATTCAAACTTTAAGCTTAATTACATGAACCCTAGGCGAATTTCGCCCGGGAATTCAAAAGGATTAAGCAGAGAGATAAGATACACATACCGGAACGAAAAAGATCCGTGGCTGAAGAAGTGATCGAATTGACGGAAGTAGGTTGACTCGATTTCTTCGATGCAGAACGACGCATCTATTATGAACAACAAATCCTGAATCTAAGAACGCATTTTCCGGAAAAAACATAACAAATACAGCCAAAAACACTAAATTAAATCCGGCAAAAAAAGGAAAGAGTAGAGAAGAAGCACCACGAAAGAGCTCTGCGAAGCTTCGAGCTTGAGAAAACTCAGCAAGAAAGCAGCTGATTTCTTCGAGAGAGGAGAGAGAGAGGAGGGACGGCAAAAGACGATTTTCTATTAGATTCTCATCAGAGCATTTTTATTCACACTTGAGAACGAATAAATATTCTTTTTTGTTGTATCCTTATTTTTCTTTATTTTCTTAAAATTTTTAAAATATATATTTTCTTGGAATTTGCGTTCACATAAAATTTTGTGTAGAAAATCGTTAGACATCGTGAATTTCAATTATTAAAAAAAAAACTATTTGGCAAATCCTGTAATAATTTAGCACCATCTGCACTTCATCAAGCTCCATCACATCTGTATTCAATTTTGAGAGTTTGACCGTTACATTGAGATTCTTAGGGAACAAATACCTGATTTTGATTCAGTGACAAGGAAGAATTCAGACAAGTAACCGACAAAAAGAAGCAGAACTCTCCAAACTCGAAGCCTCAAGTTCCGAAATCTAAGGACAGCTGCAGAATCTAAGACAAGGGAATGATCCCTTAACTAGTTAAGCCGTGGTCTGGCCGTTCTCTGAGAGGTAGAGAGTGAAGAGAGAGACAGCATCCTGCAAATGAGTTGATCGAAGATCTTCAGGCAACGGCGCAGCAAAGGCTGTCTCGAAACAGTTTAACTGAGCATCACGGCTCGAGCCCTCGCTTAGGTCGGATAGAAGCAAATCACAGATCTCCTCCGCCATCTTCGAGTATGCAACTCTGAGTTCACAGATTCGTAAAAGTATTATATATTTGTGTATAGTGTCAAGTCCAATATGCAATGCTTTTTTTTGATGAAACAACATAGGATGTGCGTAATAATGTATGACCCGTATCTGTCCACACAACGTATCTCAGGTTGTGTAGTCATCAGAAGCCAACTTTGTTTACTTAATCTAGGAGCAATAACTATGGATGCATCCAAATTTAGGAGGATCCTTCCAAAAATTGCCCCATAAAGGCCTAACTGATCTTAAAAAAAAAACCCGACTATGATATGTCTGGAGTTACTTACTGGGCTTCAACTGGTAATCTGTCTCCCCAAACAGCCAATGACTCGTTTAAACGGCCAACGAAACTTCTGCAAGACTCGTTTTTGCTCTCAAGGGAATCCTGTGCAAAAGCAAATAACGTTATTTCATATAGATGATTTATGTTTGTTCACGACAGGGAAGAACACCTTAACGCGCGGCTCATTGTTAAAGGCAGCTTCACTAGTTTAAAATCATGTTGTTCAGTTCGGTAATAATGAGATGAAGAGTTCAGCCTCGTAGTTAAAATTAAGAAAAGTAGACAGACCAGTTCTGCCATCGTATCACCATCTTCTTGCAGTGACCTCTTCAACAGATAAAACGATATGTAAATCCCAGCACCCAAGTCCCAATTTTCAATCTCAGACTTATGATCATCCATTGACGTTGCAATCCTCCATATCTCTGAATGGTTAGCTGCATTCATTCCAAAAGAAATAGATCATTGCAAATGTTACTTTTTGAGTATAAAAGGTAAGGTTTGCTCGAGATTGAAGCATATATGAAGTACACTGGAATTACATACAGGTTTAAATAGATGGAGAAAGGCTGCACATAAGTAGATGAAGGGAGTTTACCTGACAAAAATAATGAATGAGCAACGGAAGTTATGAAAATGGAATGAGCTCGTCGCCAATTCGCATAATCAAGAAAGTGTTCAAGGGCCTTTGTAGAATCTCCATGGTAATTGTAATAAACTGCCTGCAGCGCATGAAAAAGCATTTAACAAACATATATATATATTGAACACCAGAATTTGTATGAGAATGTGACTTACAAGGGCTTCATGCATCCATTCAGAAGGGACACCCAAGTCCTTGATAAATTGTCGTTGTGATTCATCGGAACTCCAAGTTTCACAGAACTGAAACAAGATTTCACGAATTACATTAACCTGCAGAAATGGATAGTCTTCATGGTGAGGCATGTGAAGAACCACATAGATAGCCCAATGACATAGGCCTTGAGAAAGAAGCTGTGTGACAAATCCCATATCAATAGCTTGAAGGTCATTGGAAGTGAAAGCTCCAACTGCCTCTAGAACTCCTCGCTGGTGCCAGATCATATGATAATCAAGAGGATCGTCGGTTGAAGAGAAGGCGCTAAACATAGTCTTCAGAAAAGCAAATTCATTCTCTTCACTGCTGTGCAGAAGCATGAGATAATACAAGAGGTCCAAATGCTCATCGTTTTTCACAAGGCTATCAGCTGGGCCTTCATCAATATATATTGGGACAGGCCGAGGAGCTTGTCCCTTATCTAACAAGTGTTGATAATTTCTGAAAATTACAGGTAATGGACTGATGGAAGGGAGTTGATACCACATCAGCAACCCAAGGAATCGCTTCCAGTCCATTGTAACATCTTGCAACGCGTCAAGGATATTACCTGCGAGCAACTCAAAAAGCCTAATCCTCTCCTTCTCCATGTAATTAAAGTCCAGCCCATTCATTCTCCAAAGCTCGAGCTGCCGTCCAATATCAGTGCGGTTTACAGTTGACCCACCAGCCTGGCTCAATAAACAAGCAAGTCTCACATCCCCCTTAGATATGGCAAGTTCAACAGCCGAATCAAGCTGTCGCCCGGTTAGAAGAAAGAACAAGTGCTCAAGGTAACCTCCATTCAAAGAGCTCACATCTTCCTGCACACGGTGACTGACACTCTCCTGGAGCCAACAGCTGAACTCTGCTCTTCGGACAAGCGGAAGAGCCTCTGGGTCAGTTTCTGACGAATCTTCCTCCATATCCTGCATCATGTCTTCCTCATTATCAGACGCAACAGATTTTGAGCGTTCAGCATTCTCTCTCTCAGAAAATAGAACCTTTATCAGTTCCCAACCCATTACTTGGTGCATCAAAACCAGCTTGGCAGAGGGGGATAACCCAGGAACCTCCAGCTGTTTCTCGATTACATCTATATAGCTTCGGCATATATCAGAAAGAATCACCCGATCAGTAACTACTTTATGGAGTTTAAGCTTGAAAGAGCCAACCACAACTTCTTCTGTCTCATGGTCTAGTTCCTTGTGAAGACTTAGAGGGGCCCCAAATGCAGCGTTAACGAGTTCTTTTTTAACTTTTTCGTTTTCATCTCGAACCACTCTGTCAACTGCTAGTTTTTCTACATTGATCACCGAAGACAATACCCTTTGGGAACTAGAACTGCCTATCGGTGTGCCGGTGTGGAAGAGAACACCATTCGGGCCCCACCCTGCCCGGAACGACCTTCCCATGAATAATGCAGCATCAACAACATTGCGGGAGTGGCTTTCAGTCACTGGTGTAACATGGCTGAGGTCCAGCTCAAAACCTCTAGTTTTCGACTTCGGCACTGCTAACTCCTTATTTTGCTGGGCCATCAGGATACTACCTGGAGAGTTTTTATCGCTACCAGGGGTATACTCCAACAAAGCTAGTGGAGTTTTCCGCACAACTGGAGGAGTATCTTGATGACTACTTCTTGGAGCAAATTTCTGTGAAGGTCTTGCATTTCGTTTTGTTAAGGATGACCTCAGATGAGAAGATTGCCCTCTAAACTCCTCCATTTCTTCTTGATCCTCAGTGGGAAACATTAGCATTCTCATTTCCTTCATCTTTACGGGGTCAAGTCCTAGATGGGCAGGAAGAGAGTGAGAAAGTTCTGGCTCATAAATTTCCACCTGATGTTCTCCATCAATGTCAGATATCTTGTCACCATTCATTAACACAGGATCTTCAAACCCTGTCGCATCATCCATTACGATATCTTCTGCCTCATCATCACTCAACCCGAATCTGCTGAAGTGGGGAACCAAAAACTTCCATGAGCTATTAGCAGGATTAAAAGAGATGAAAGTTGCTCCTTGTCTCTCAGCAATTTGTTTTAATTTATAAGAAATATAACGAACCCGTTCTTTTTCCCAAATTGAACATGATGTGTTTACAATCAGAGTCACCTCAGCAGCCTTGTTAAGCCCCTTATCGACAACAGGCTTGGATCTCTCATCATCATAAACATTCACCTGATGCCTATGAAACTTAACAATCTGATCCAGATCTAACCTTCTAACATCTGTATTGCCAAGATATTTGAGATATCCATAACCAATCCTGCCAATAATGAAATCAGGAACTCGGCCGCAGTAGCCAGGGTCGGCAATTTCTCGCTCTGCCAGCTCGTTTATGCATGGTTTAATGAAGTAGTCAGGCGAACACAACTTAGGCAACAAATCTTTAATCTCTCTGGAATATCTACTTAAGAGAGAATCTCCATCCAAAGAGATCCTTCTTTTCTTCCCTGATTCCAAGTTGATCGCCATTCTGGAAATATTACAAGCTAGGATACTGTTCTGCGTGCTATCATTTTCACCAGACATCCCTGTCAACAGAGGATTTGGCAAATGAATATAAAAAGAACACAGATACACGAAAAGAAACAATGAATTAACATGTCTCAAACATTGTGTCCTTTATTCAGAAAATAGAAACCGAAATGAACTGTTGACCAACCAGACAGTTCCTTCGCTCATCTGATACGAAAATTATATACTTTACAGTGAGCATTTACTCCACATGTCTAACATTTTCCCATTGTTACATCGAATTTTGAAAATCCAATCAAATTCACAAAGTGGGTATCGAATCCATGCCTCAACAACAAACTTAGGAGATTCAACTAGGCAACCCCATCAAGTTCAGCAATTTAAACATGAAATAATCAAAAGAAAAATAAGATTTTAGGTTTTAACAAAAATCCCACATCCTTAATTTCCGCTATAAGTGCTACGCGGATACGCAACATATCAATAGATTCAATCAGCTGAAATCGAAATGTGCACAGGTCACGGAGAAGACTAGATTTGCAGACGTACCAGAAGCTGGAAGAACAGCAGGAGACGCCATGATTGGAGAACCCCGAAAAAACCCGAAGGCAAAGTGACGTCTAGGGCTTTCTATCTTTTAGTCTTCGATAGTACTGCTGATTCTCCGATGGACACAGAATCCGTTACGGCGGCGGCAATCGCCGGAAAGAAACCTCTATCTACGACGGGCGAATGCCTTTGAAAGAACACTGAAGCAGCAAAAGCTGGAACACTGCAGTCTCCAATAAAGGTTGACATTGTTGGGCCTGGTCTTACAAAATTATGTTGGGCCTTAAAAGCCCAATAAAAAATTTCCATTTTTCTTGTTGTCCGTACAATCCTCCTCCGCTGTATATAAAGCCTTCTCTCTCAGTGACCGTTCCAATTTTCCATTTTTCCCTCTTCTTCTGAAATCGGACAGAGAAATCTCCGGCGCCGTCGTAAATCTCGTCTAGGTCTCTCCCTTCTCTCAGTCTCGATCCTTCTCTTCGCGAAGTTCTGTATGTTTTTTTTCTTGGAGCTTTTCTCCGTGTGATTGTTGTGTCCTGAGTTGAACTTCTAGACAGTTACCTGCGTTGGTTTTGGCTCGTGCAATGGCTACTTTTGGTGCTGCGGCGACTTCTAGGTCTAACCCTAACAAATCCTACGAGGTACCGATGTTTCCTTCATATTTGTGTTTTTTCCTTTCCGTGGGTTTCCGCCGGGTTTGCTCCGGATATGTAATCTTGTTTGAATTGCCTGCCTAGATTGTGTTAGAATGCGGGTGTTTAATCTCTTATCTTTAAAGAAGTTGGTTTTTTTCAGTGCGTTTCTTGTCGAGATGCTCGTTTCTAACTTTATTGATCCGCTGATTTTAGTCATGACTGAATCTGTGGGTTAGAATTCTAGGGTTTGATTGCTGGTCTTTGAAGTGGCAGCTCTTGTTCTGGAATAATTCCTTTTCTCTCGATGAGTTTCGATTTCTGCGTTTGAATATGTTCTGAAATGGTACGGGCTTATAAGAATTCAATTTTTGAATAATTGAACCTTCCGAGCTAAATCCGTGCCGTAGTCGTGTTTTATATACTTAGGCATCTTTTTCGGTTTAACTTCCCAGTGTATGTCTACTTGCGGGGTGATTGAATTAGTATAATCTTCTTCTTGGGTTGTCTTATCTTAGTATGAATTTCCTGTTTACAGTTCTTTTTCACTGATTCTTTGCATTTGCCTGCAGGTGGCTCCATCTCCCAGCGACTCTGTTTCAAGCTTAAGTTTTAGTCCAAGAGCTGATATTCTTGTGGCAACTTCATGGGATAATCAGGTTCATCTCATGTCTTTTTTCTTTCCCTGCTTTTCAAGTCGCTGGTCTGACTTGCTATTCACGTAAAAGAAATATTCTTTAGTGTTATCCGTTATTGGTGTCAAAAGTTTTTTCTTTGTGAAGTGCATTCTTTTTATGTTCTCGAAATTGTTTTCTTTGTTCTTTGGCATTTTCTTCATCTGATGGGTTCATTTATCATTTGCGGATTTGCTTCTAATGATGCAGGTCAGATGCTGGGAAATAGTACGTAGTGGAACCAATGTAACCAGCAATCCAAAAGCATCAATTTCACATGATCAGCCGGTAAGGGGTTATTGCTTAATGGCTTGTTATGTCCTGCTCTCTCTTTGCTCAAAATCTAATCAGTACCTTTTCCTTTTTTTCATGATGAAGGTTTTATGCTCTGCTTGGAAAGATGATGGAACAACAGTCTTTACAGGAGGGTGTGACAAGCAAGCAAAAATGTGGCCCCTGTTGTCAGGTGCTCAACCTGTAACTGTTGCTATGCACGATGCTCCTATTAAAGAGATGGCTTGGATACCCGGAATGAATCTCCTGGTTACTGGAAGCTGGGATAAAACATTGAAGTAATTTGTTTATTATATTCTATTCCCGTGAAGAAATATCTCGTTGACTGCATATTTTATTTATGTTGCTCTAGCTAACATATGTGACATTGCGTACTGATTTCCCTGTTCTAGATATTGGGACACAAGACAATCCAATCCAGTGCACACCCAACAGCTTCCAGAACGCTGTTATGCAATGACAGTAAAACACCCTCTAATGGTTGTTGGAACTGCCGACAGAAATCTGATAGTCTTCAACTTGCAAAATCCTCAGGTTATATTTTTTTTGCCTGGCAACTATTAGGTTTTCCATTTACAACCTGCATGACCTTTGGTATTAAGGACAATGCGAGCATGCAATGCATGGTTCCAGGGATTTAAGAACAATTTAGCACTAATGTGGGATCAAATGGTGAAACCTTCCTCTATTTTACAAAGAATGAATCTCTTCACATCATTTGAATTGTGATTTCCTTGTCATACTGTCACACTTTTATCTGTTCCTGTGGGTTTAATTCTTAGAGTGTTTAACTTCAATTACTGGAATACTGTAGACGGAGTTCAAGAGAATTACTTCACCCCTGAAGTATCAGACGAGGTGTGTTGCTGCCTTCCCTGACCAGCAAGGCTTTTTGGTATGTGTCTTATATCGTGGCTACTATTGTTTCTTTGCTTAATTTGGCATTGCATGAATTAAGCTCGAATAACATTAAGCTTAACCATTTTCTAAATGTTCTCTGCAATCATGATTCTAACACTTTTGAATACCAGTCTCTTCCTTTAGAAGCTTGCAAATATCATATGATATGATAGTCTAGTGCAGATTGCTTAATCAGTTTCAGCTTCATATCCTTCTTATAAAATTTAGCCCATATGTCATGCATTGTGCTCTCCTTTCTTTCATTGATGGATATAAAATTAACTCCAAGCAAGATAACGTGTGTGTCTAATGTTTCTCACCAGATTGGTTCAATTGAGGGAAGAGTTGGTGTGCATCACCTGGATGATTCGCAACAGAGCAAAAACTTCACTTTTAAATGCCATAGGGATGGCAATGAGATCTATTCTGTGAACTCTTTGAACTTTCACCCGGTAAGCCTGATGGTTCAAGTTATACTTGCTCTAGTTGTAAAATGGTGAGCAAATAAATGGCTCCAATTTCCTGTTTTGCATATTTCAGATGCATGGCACATTTGCCACTGCTGGGTCAGATGGTGCTTTCAATTTCTGGGACAAGGATAGCAAACAGAGGCTCAAGGTATGTCCATAATGGCATCTTCATTGCACTGTGCTTTTCAATTTTTTTGTCTTTTTTTTTCAACTCATCCACATTACCTCCTTACAATTTCAGGCCATGTCGAGATGCAATCAGTCAATTCCTTGCAGTGCGTTCAACCATGATGGCTCAATATTTGCATATGCGGTATACAATTGTCTTGTTAGGTTGTTCTTCGATATCTTTGTTACTGCATGAGCCACTTAAATACACAAAAACAGATACACACACCCTGAATCCAAAGGCAAGCATGCTTCTTCTACAGACTCAAACACCATACCATATAAGCGTAAACAATTTGCCAAAGCTTTGAACCCCATACTATTAATTGCAATATCAGTGGGGATTTACTTATTTATATTCATGTTGTTTGTTGTACCTTAGAGTTGCTACAATGGTGTCTTATATCTTTGAGGTGAATCAGGTATGTTATGACTGGAGCAAAGGTGCAGAAAACCACAACCAGGCATCCGCCAAGACCAACATCTTCCTTCACCTCCCTCTGGTGTGTTCTCTCTCTGTCATAATGAATCATCTGTAAAGCATGTTTCCCGTATTGACCAGTCATAGCATATGTTTTGTTTTGTCAGGAAAGTGAAGTTAAAGCCAAACCCAAAGCCGGAGCAGCGACCAGAAAGTGAGCCTCCGTCGTTGCCAATGCTGCACCTCCAACTTTTGGTTTGTGCAAGAAATTCAAGAAAGTTTTTGATGAACACAATTCACATTTCATTAAAAAAAAAATATTTTAGTTGAAGCTCGGACCACTAGCGGAATGATGTTTTTACATGTTCTCTTATATATGTTTGTTGTCTTCATCGGTGATTAGTTATGTTAGGCAAGTGAATCATGCAACAGAGGTTACCAAACACAAAATCTGGTGTTGGTGGAATTTTGTTATTATTTTAATCATCATGTGAAGGTTGAAATTGTGTTGGCGCGGCATGACCGTTAAGTTCGTTATGAGGACACGTGGCAGGATCTGAGGAAGGTCAGTGAAGAGCAAGGAAGGAGACGAAGTCGGAGAGAGGGAGAGGTGTGAGCAAATTTGGCGCTCCTTCGCAAACTCTCCGTCTTATGACAGTAACTCTTTTATTTTTGCTATAAATGATGTCTTTTCTTCACCACTCTCCATTTCTTCACGCCCAAAAATAAAAAACACAGAAAAAGAATAATTTTTTCTTCATTTATTTTTGTTTCTGTATCATTACCGACTGTAACCGGAAAAAAGAAAAAGATTGGGAGAAAGTTCCACCAGGAAAAAAACTGTCAAAAATCCCAGATCAAGAAGAACAGGGACTTGTTCGAAACAAGCAGAAGAGGCCCTGATTTGACGAAGAAGAAGATGGCGGGGAATGATATCAGCTGGGATGAGATCAAGAACGAGAACATCGACCTCGTAAGCAATTTTCTCCTCCCCCGATTTCAGAGTTCTTTTTCTCTTCCTTAGATCCTGTAAGACATCGAGTTTGAATCTTGATTGATAAGTAAGAAAGTTAGATCGCAGTTTTCAGTTTCCGAGATTGATATATGGTGTCGGGCTCCGGTTTGAATCAGGAGAAAATTCCGATTGAGGAGGTGTTGAGGCTTCTGAAATGTTCAAAGGAAGGTCTGACGAGCGAGGAGGGCCAAAGGCGGCTCGAGATCTTCGGCCCCAACAAGCTCGAAGAGAAAAAGGCAAGCCGAATGCGAATAACATAGTTTCTCATTCACCTTTTTGTTTCTCTCCTCCATGTCCAAGAATACCCAAATCTAACCAGTTTTTTGTTCGGGTTGGGTTGGAAACAGGAAAGCAAGCTTCTGAAGTTCTTAGGGTTCATGTGGAACCCTCTCTCATGGGTCATGGAGATCGCCGCTATAATGGCAATCTGTTTGGCCAATGGAGGAGTAATCAACCATCTAACTCCCCCTCTCTTTTCTTCATCATTTTTCATATGCTACGTTCACAAAGTTTCGATCTTTTCTTCTTTACGGGCTTCGTTTCTTGGATCTGCAGGGCAGGCCACCAGATTGGCAAGATTTCATAGGCATCGTAGTTCTGTTGTTCGTCAACTCTACCATAAGTTTCATCGAAGAGAACAATGCCGGGAACGCAGCTGCCGCCTTGATGGCCGGTCTAGCCCCGAAAACAAAGGTGAGTAATTCATATCAATACTTCATCTACGACAAAACATAGATGTTATTGCCCAAAAGAGTAGATCGAGAATTGCATCTTACAACCTTGTTGTTGAAGCTCCTGAGAGATGGAAAATGGAGCGAGCAAGATGCGGCGATTTTGGTACCTGGAGACATAATCAGCATCAAGTTAGGTGACATCATCCCGGCTGACAGTCGTCTCTTAGACGGAGATCCTCTCAAGGTTGATCAATCTGCACTCACTGGCGAATCTCTTCCCGTGACCAAACACCCAAGTCAAGAAGTTTACTCGGGTTCCACCTGCAAACAAGGAGAGATCGAAGCTATTGTTATTGCAACCGGTGTTCATACCTTCTTCGGAAAAGCAGCTCACCTTGTCGACAGCACCAATCAAGAAGGGCATTTCCAGAAGGTATACACCGAATCACAAAAGTTGATACAAGAGGGTAAATGAACCTCAATATGAACGAAAAGTTTGGATACTTTTTTTTAACTTTTTCTGCAGGTGTTGACAGCAATTGGGAACTTCTGCATTTGCTCTATAGCAATAGGTATGCTAGTTGAGATCGTTGTGATGTACCCGATTCAGCGCCGTGCGTATAGAGATGGAATCGACAACCTTTTAGTGCTTCTCATCGGAGGAATCCCAATTGCGATGCCGACCGTTTTGTCAGTCACCATGGCCATTGGCTCTCACCGGCTTTCTCAACAAGGGGCTATCACAAAGAGGATGACGGCTATCGAAGAGATGGCCGGAATGGATGTCTTATGCAGTGACAAGACTGGAACTCTGACACTTAACAAGCTTACAGTTGACAAGAGCATGGTTGAGGTGTTTGTCAAGGACTTGGACAAGGACCAGCTGATTGTTCATGCGGCAAGAGCCTCTAGGGTTGAAAACCAGGATGCCATTGATGCTTGCATTGTCGGGATGCTTGGAGATCCCAAAGAGGTACTTTTAAAAAACGCCTCAATCTATGTTTCCATGGTGCAAGTTTCACCTAAAATTTATGTTCTCTCGTCAGGCAAGAGATGGCATTGAGGAAGTTCATTTCTTCCCTTTCAACCCAGTGGACAAGCGTACAGCCATCACTTACATCGACTCCAATGGAGATTGGTACCGTGTCAGTAAAGGTGCACCAGAGCAGGTAATGCCGAAACATATTCTTCAATTCCCTTTCCCAACATCATTGGATGTTGTACTGACTTGTGTCTGAAACTGTCGACTGGCTAGATAATTGAGCTCTGCAACCTTCGGGAGGATGCAAAGAAGAGATCTCACGCCATCATCGACAAGTTTGCTGATAGAGGACTACGGTCTCTTGCAGTTGGCAAACAAGTAAATCCATTTCCCCGAAAATTCTGAAACTTCGTGTTGGTTTCCCTTAAATGCCAATTTTCCCACCGTCTACATTACAGGCAATCCCGGACAAAGACAAGAATGGCCCGGGAGGACCATGGCAGTTTCTTGGTCTCTTGCCTCTCTTTGACCCTCCAAGACATGACAGTGCTGAGACAATCAAGCGTGCCCTAGACCTCGGGGTCAATGTCAAGATGATCACTGGTGACCAGCTTGCCATTGGGAAAGAAACTGGCCGCAGGCTTGGTATGGGTACCAACATGTATCCTTCTTCTGCGCTTCTAGGACAGCACAAGGATGAAAGTGTAACTGACCTTCCTGTTGATGAGCTAATTGAGAAGGCTGATGGATTCGCCGGTGTTTTTCCTGGTAAAGATTAAGCTAAAGAACAGTCTTTTCTTGTTCCATTTGATATGCAAATGATAATTCTTAATGGGTCTGATCAGAACACAAGTACGAGATCGTGAAGAGGCTCCAGGAGAGGAAGCACATATGTGGAATGACTGGTGACGGAGTGAACGATGCTCCGGCTCTCAAGAAAGCTGACATTGGAATAGCTGTTGCCGATGCGACTGATGCAGCCAGAAGTGCATCAGACATAGTACTAACCGAGCCAGGGCTCAGCGTCATAATCAGCGCTGTCCTAACCAGTAGAGCCATCTTCCAAAGAATGAAGAACTACACTATATACGCTGTTTCCATCACTATCCGTATTGTGTTGGGCTTTCTACTGCTCGCACTCATATGGAAGTTTGATTTCGCGCCTTTCATGGTTCTGATCATCGCAATCCTGAACGATGGAACCATCATGACCATTTCCAAGGACAGGGTGAAGCCCTCTCCCCTTCCCGATTCATGGAAACTCAGAGAGATATTCGCCACTGGGGTTGTCCTCGGCACTTACCTGGCAGTGATGACTGTAGTCTTCTTCTGGCTTGCAGATAGCACTGATTTCTTCTCTGTAAGGAAAAATTTCCAACTTTTACTTCAGGATTCATATCACCCACGAGCAAGTAGTGTCTTAATTACCATTTCTTTTCTCGGAAACCGTAGGAAAAGTTTGGGGTTAAATCAATCAGCAAGAAGGAGCATGAGCTAACGGCAGCTATCTACCTCCAAGTTAGTATTGTCAGCCAAGCACTCATCTTCGTCACTCGATCCCGTAGCTGGTCATATATTGAACGTCCAGGGCTCTTGCTAGTCATCGCCTTCCTTATAGCCCAATTGGTGAGTTAAGCTTGGAACTGAAGTTCCCATCACGGAAAATGAAAAACCGTGTATCCAAATCGTGTTTTTTTGACACTGAACTTCTTCCATTCCAGATCGCAACGATCATAGCTGTGTATGCAAACTGGGACTTTGCGAGAATCAAAGGTATCGGGTGGGGATGGGCAGGAGTCATCTGGCTCTACAGTTTGGTGTTCTACATCCCACTCGACATCCTCAAGTTCATCATCCGATATTCACTGAGTGGTCGAGCCTGGGACAATGTCATCGAGAACAAGGTGGTACCTGAAATCAAAGATTGTTTCCTGATAATTTCAAGAACGACATTAACTTTGCATTTTTGCTAACAATGGTCTCTTCTTTAGACCGCTTTCACATCAAAGAAAGACTATGGGAAGGGGGAGAGAGAAGCACAATGGGCTCAAGCTCAACGTACCCTTCATGGCTTGCAGACAGCTCAGAACTCGGAATCTATCTTCAACGAAAAGAGCAGTTACAGAGAGCTGTCTGAACTTGCAGACCAAGCCAAGAGACGTGCTGAAGTCGCAAGGCAACACCGAATCAACTGAGAAATCCTTGTCATTTCTTTTATCTGAATATGCCCTTAACCATGTCTTTTTTTCCTCTACTGTCCAGGTTAAGGGAGCTGCATACATTGAAGGGTCACGTTGAATCAGTGGTGAAGAACAAGGGACTTGACATAGACACTATCCAGCAACACTACACTGTATAATTCAGAACAAGTTTCTCAGTTAGATTAGAAAGCAAGAGTGTTGAATAAAACCTCCCCTAGTACAAAGGGTGCTGCAGAAGAAGAACATGTTTCTTTGTTTGGCAGTGGCTCCCATGCGGCTACTTAGTATTTTGAGATATTCTTGTTTTTAATTTCAGTAATAAGATTCAACCATTGTTTAGAAGTTCTTCTCATCTTGCCTGCAAAGACAGAATGCACCAAACTAGAACAATAGAACTAAAATGCACATTTACAGGAAAAAAATAGATCATTTACTCAGAGAACCGTATCAATGGAGTTTCTTGGCAGCTTTTGGACCCTTGAAACTCGCTGAGGCAAACAATAAGTTGGAGATATGGAGCCAATAATATATGAGGAGGATTATGTAAACAGTTACTCAGAAAATCTCTAATACATAATCCAAGAAGTAATCCCAAAGAAGAAGGCATATTTCGGGGAAAATAGGACAATGAGCTATGTTTTCTGGGCCTAAATCAAATGCTAATCTTGAGGCCTATAGGCATAATAACTAACATCAGATTTCTTCACACGTCAGTTATACAACCAGTGACCAGACCATTACCGACAAGTCAAGTAAGTCTGTCTGCTTTTACCCAAAAGCTTTATGGGTTCTAAATGAATGACCCATCTGCTTAAGATACCAGAGTGCTCCCTCAGCTGCATGCTCGGCTGCTAGTTTCTTCTTAGAGCAAGGAGACCCAAAACACTCCAAAACAGTTGTACTTGATGACTCTTTAACCTCAATCACAACCTTACATGTATACCTAAAAAAACCAAAAACCAGATTCATGCAAAAAGGTTGTTAACTCGAAAAACACATGGGGACAGAAATTTTGTTCACTTACAATCTCATGTGGCAAGGGCCCTTATCATTGCAGCACTCGTACACCGGAGCTTTCCAATGCCTCTTAACGCATAATTCATGCAACTGTGATTTGGCCCACTCTCTCTTAGGTTCATCTGAACATGCTGAACACAATACTACCACCAAATGTGAGCATGAATACAACAACTTGTGGCATTACAAACTTTAACAAAGCTAAAACCTAGTGAAATTTTCTCCATGATTCCCATTAGGATCCCTTCAAAAAATAGCATTCGATATAATACATTGAGGTGGAGCAACTCTCCTGCTGAGTGAACCCATCACTGAAATACCCATTCCATAATTGTCAGGCTTGACACTTGAGTTACAGCACATTACATATACACACATACACATCCAGATACGCTTAGCAGCAAGGAGAATATCCACATTGTTTATCATAAAAAAAACAATACTGAGATTCACTGAAGTTAAAACAGAAAAATAAAACACTACAAAAGCTATGAAATCGTAACCTTGATGAAACCCAGAACAAGTAACAGGAGGAAAAAACATGCACCTTCAATTCTGGGTCTTGTGTTGCAGATCAAATCTTCTACTGGTTCTGGAACGCGCTTCCTCTCTTGGGTGATGTCTCTGCTTATTGCACTGTTAGGATCTATCTCCTTAGTGGATAGAGAAGAGTTGTCATCATTTTCTTTAGCCTCATTCCTCTTCCTTACATTCATCTTGCTTTTTGCATCCCAACTCTGCTCCGCCTCATAAACTGGCAACATCCTCGTTTCGGGTTTCTGATAAAGTAGAACAAACAATGGGAAAGAATCAAACTTATTGGGTTCAAAAAACACACAAATTTATTGAATCCGAGAGAATAAGAAACTGATACTGAAGAAGCAAAGGATGAGGAGACTAAAGTTAAGACATTTCTCCCCCTCCTTGACAAACTTCCTTGGGCGGTTTCAGATAATTGTCCAATGGAAAAAGACAAGAAGAAATAAGAGAAAACCAATCATAAAGATACAAAAGGAACACAAATGTCGGTTCTTTTCCATCAATCCAGTAAACCCAGAGAGGGAAGTTTTCAATTTGTATATTATGAGTAGAAACCCATTAATCAATAGTACTAAAGTTTCGCCTTTTTCACATCCTCTTACTCCAACAACTCTCTACTGGGTCTCTGCCTACATAGCAGAACGTGAGGGAAAACCCCCCAAAAAATCGATTCAGAAAATGTGAATGCGAAAGAACAGAACTTTTGGGTTCTGTTCTTTGAATTCTTACCACGGAGGGGCTACTGGGTACGGACGATGGATCTAGAGGAGACATATCTTCGAGACTGACGAATGATTTTGATGGGTTTTCGCTCACATTCTTCGTTTCCTCCATTTTTCTTCGGACTGGTCGTTTCCCCGTGATCTGTTTGGAAACGGGAAATTGCAGGAGTTAATTGCACCCTGGAAAAAGACACGGACAGATGCAATATCGACGGATCAGACAATTAATTCGTCACAGCTTCCTTCTGTAAAGGGTATCATGAAACCCCAATTGCCACTTATCTTCATGTATCTTAAAAGTTCAGTTTTTTTTTATACAAATTCTCATTCTCTTTTTTTCAGTGTAAAGGGTGGGCAATTGGTCGGGTTCGGTTATTTCGAGTTCGGGTATTTCGGGTTTGAAATATTTATATCTAATCGGGTATATTATTTTAATCGGTTCGATTCGGTTCGAATCGGTATAAAAAAAACGATAAAAAAATTCAAACAATTACCTTATAAAAATAATAAAAACAACATTAAAATACATCGTTTTTTATATATTATGATTATAAAACAATATCATTATACTATTTTTTCTAATTAGATTTAGAATATATTACATATTATTTGATGATATATAGATAGATAAACGGATATTTTCGGTTTCGGGTATTTCGGATTTGAAATATTCATATCTAATCTGGTATATTATTTTAATCGGATTCGGTTATTTTGCCCACGTGTGTTTAATTATTTCTAATATGTTCTTTAACAAATGTTATCTTTTTTTAGCCAAGAAATGTTTTTTTTTTCTTAATACGTTTGCACACCATCAAAAAAGAGTGTTTTATCAACGTGAACACGACTAATATATATATATATATATATATATATATATATATATATATATATATATATATATTATGCTGTGCTATAGCAGTGTAGTGTCAGAATCCAGGTATAATAGATAAGTTCCACACATAAAACCGTGTAGAAACTAACATCGACAATCATGTAACATTTGTGTACAAACAGCCATTGAAATCAAGAAACAAGAAACAGAGAGCCAGCAAATCTTTGATATTTATACAGACACGAACTGGTTATGAGAAAAAATCAAAAGATCATGAAATTCTCAAGGATCCACCGAGTTCTACTGGTAAAAGAGGGATGAGAGAATGCAAGACATCTGTTATCAGTGGTCTATAGCTCGGCTCAGACTGCACACATAGCACTGCCACTGCAGCAACCTGCAATTGCACAAGACAAATCTTTCGATATCTAGTAAAAGATTGCTGTGAATGTTCAACTGTCGCGAAGGAAGCAGGGATTTTGGTGATGTTAACCTGATACAGATGCTTCAAGTCCATGGTGCCTTTGATTGCAGGATCCAAGATGTTTGGAAGATTGGCTCTGTCACTGAGCTTAGGTACAGCCTGACAGAAGACGAAAAAACAAAACTCATAAGCAGACAACCCCGAAAAAAAAAAGAGCAAATTTTCCATGTCAACTCTTCTCATATGTACCCAGGAAGTGAAGGATTGGTGTTCGGCTGATGGGTTTTCCGCTGATTTTCTCCCGAGGAGAAGCTCTAGAAGTATCACCCCGAAGGAATACACATCCGTCTTATCTGTGACTTTGCCTGAAAAAGATGAAAAGAGAACACAGGAAGATATGAACATTTTTGTTTCTCAAAATGTTAAAACTCAGAACAAGCCATGAAGCAACAAAGACCGGTTTCAAGATTTAGATAGATACCTTCTAGAGGCAACTCAGATGCTCCACATCCCATGGTTCCGGACAACTTCAGGCTCTTGCCGTGTGTCCCAAATGTCATGGCACGGCCAAAATCTGAAATCTGAAGACAGGAAAGGAGCCATATATCCTTAGAACTCATCATCACTTGAAAGCTGATAACATTGTGATGAAGAGTTTTGGTTGAATAAAGGCCTAGTTACCTTTGCGTTGAATTCGGAGTCCAAAAGGATATTAGACGACTTTAGATCTTTATGAACAACAGGAGGATGGCAATGCTCATGAAGATATTCTAATCCTCTGAAAGAAGAAAAAAGGGATGATTTGTTAGTGTATTGTGTTCATGGAGCTCACAAAAATATCCTAAAACTTTTGAGGAATCTTCGGGGGAATGGGACTTACCTTGCTATATCAACCGCGATTTTCATCCTTAGCTGCCAAGTTAAGGCTGAACCGTGACTAGGCCCTGAAACTCCCAATGAACAGCATTGATGAAAAAGGAATATATATATATATACATAAGGTGGGATATCATGTTGAGCAAAAACACAGATCTTCTCAGTTTGCAAACGTTAACATGCATTGACTGAGACCAATGTTGAACTGTCTGATAGGTCTCTCTGCTAGATGGATATCTCTAAATCGATCATCAATAACCAAGATGAAGAGATTCCCCCATAAGGAAAAGAGGGAAAAACAAAAAAGGATCAATGTGGGATCATCAATGGTGTAAGGGACCAAAAAATATCAAGAAAACGACTGAGCTGATATCTTACCGTGCAACTGACTTTCCAGAGATCCATTTTGCATCATCTCATACAAAAGAAATCTCGTTTCCCCATGTGTGCAATACCCCACAAGGGAAATTATATTCTGATGCCGGATCTTGGTCAACCAATTGATTTCAGTCTGCACAATAGTTTAACAAAACCAGGTTACGGTTTAGAGTGACACTGATACTGCAATATCATCAGGGTCGAATCTTTTTAAACCTCCAATTCTTTCTCAATGTTTGGTTCTCCACCATCTAGCCTCTTCACAGACACATTGGTCTTTTCCTCTAAAGACGCTCTGTAAACACATCCCCTACCATTTCGGCTCAACACATTACTATCACTGAACTTGTTGGTTGCCGCTTCCAACAGTTGGTATTCATATACGGGTATCGCACCCTTCCTTAAAGAATCAAGCCTGTGCATAATCGGTTTCGAGGAAGCACTCTTCACAGGGTCTTCAAAATCAAAAGCCAAAAAACACCAAGGATGAACCAGAGATTGAACATGTCTCAAATTTGAAAGATGAAAAAACATAGCTAGAGAATTGGAATGTACAATACCAGACTTTTGCTTGATTGCAGGACTTGAATTCCTCAGAATTCTGTACCTCCATATCAAGAAGTAAAAGAGGAACATCAGCGTAGCGCCAAGGAGAGCTGATGAGATGATAAGAGCTACAAGAATCTTCTTGTTCAAGTCCTGATGATGCACTACTCTCACCACAGAAGAGCCTGGTAAAAACATCAAAGATCAGCAAGAGGGAAAAAAAACCCGGTATTGATATGAAATCATTTGCGTTGCCTGTCTCAGCCAAGCAAAATCTGGGCTGAGCTCAAAGCTAGGTTGCAATGGATGCTGTGGAGAATTCACCGGTTGAAAGTTCGAGCTTTGTTCCTCTAACCAATTATCATAAAAAAGTTTTCGTTTTTCCGGTCAGAAACGTCGTCGATGCAAACAAATTGAACTCCTTTACCAGTCTTCGAGCAAACCCATTTCAACAAATCCGAAGGAAACTACCAGAACCAAGCAAACAACTCATTCACTGGCAAGGTTTTGGTCTTTTTTATCCTTAATTGTGTAAGATCAAGAAAGTCAAAGCAGTAGAGGCATACCCGGAGCCTGAGCTTCCATTCTTGCAGAAGCCTGAGAAATAGGGATTTCGTCGGCAGACCCAGAAGAATCGAAAACGACGGGAGAGTAAGAATTCGCCGCAAAAGCGAAGGAGAGCAACGAGAAAACCAAAACCCACATGGGTAATGATAACAGCAGCACACGAATGAGACAAATTGTCTGGTTCATGAGCATGCACAGATAGAGAAAGATAAGGGCAGAGAAAAAAGAGGGAAGTTTCTTTATCGATTGGGGGCTTGGCTTTTCGTTTAACGTCTCCTAGGTCTTGGAATTAGTTTCGCTTGTCTGGAGACGAAGACAAGAAGCACTGTTTCTGTGACAAGAGTTGATGTTTGGTCTTCCATTGTTGGCAGTTATGAAAAGGTGAAAAAGGTGCAACAATTGCCTGACCATCGGGGGAGGTTGAGGCACTCGCCGTGCTTTTGAGACGTGGAAAAGTGGAGAGAGAGAGAGAGACTAATCAATTTGGTTTTGTGGGGGAAAATTGGACATTCCCGAGATTTGGATTGTGATTTAAACATATTTTTTTTTACTAATTTTGTTTGTTTTTTTTTTGTCTGATAGTGAATGCAGGTAACTAGCATGCTCTTTGCAGAAAATGGATACCGTATCTTATAAAACCAAATATAAATATTATGTTATGTCTTTGTTTGTTCTATTATAGTACAAAAATGAGGGGCCATTTTCCTATGCTCTTAACAACCACCTTTTGGGTGAGGAAACATGTCATTTAATGTCGCTTAGAACATTGGATTTAGTTGTTTCTTTCCAATTATATTCTGCGTAGATTTCTTTTTATCTTTAATTTTAGGGGAATATATATATATATATATGTATATATATGTTCTGATAATAATGACTAATGTTATATAATTCTCATAATAGATGTGATGCAAATTAAAAAAAAAAAGAAGATCAAATAAAGGTGAAATTGATGGGTGATTGAAAATTGAGGTGAGTCCAACAAAGATTCAGAAGAGATATGATTTTTTTTTTGTATGAAAAGATGCAATGTTTTTTTTTTTTTGTAGCAGAGGCAGCAGTCTTCATGTGAACCTTTCTATGGTGTTGTATGACAAGTGGGCACAGTTGTCCGGGCCTCGAACACACCTTGATTCAATTTGAACTAAAATGAAAATAATTTTTTAATTTATTTCAATTTTTTTATCTAGGCATACCTAAAATTGTACCATTTAAAAAAAACGTTATCTTCAAATAAGATAGATAGATACTTTAATATAAATATTTTTATTATTATCTTTATATCTATATATATATATAACAGATAATGGGCTAGGCATTTAATTGGGTAAGCTCAGGCCCAGGGAATCCATGTCACATCTAAGCCCACAAAATCGCATTCTATGATTTTAGACTGCTACATACATGCATGCATACATGCATGCATACGTACATAGACACCCACTCAACCCTCGCTAATTAACAATTTGATCTCGTCGATTTTATATAAATAAAGTTTTATTCCAACTAACATTATGTCAAAAACATAATTTTAACTTATACTTTCAACCGAAACATAATTGTACTAGTCAACCGTATGTTGACTAGTGTGTATATATGCATATATATATATAGAGAGAGAGAGAGAGAGAGAGAGAAAAATAAGAAACCACAAGAACAATTAATCACTACTGTAACGAGGGAGACATGGTAAATTGCATGATGGATGGAGGCTATATGAAGATAAGCATGAAGCACACAACATGGCATAGCATTCAATTGGAGAATGGAGAGGTGGCACTTCTTTCTATGCGTACATTTATATCTTCCCCCCATCTATATGCTGTGTATATCCCTAATTCACCATAATAACATCATTAGTCATTTCCTTTTTCTTATTCATCCTCCCCATGCCATGGACTAATAATATACCATATTCATACACACACGCACCATATATTAAAATATGATATGATGTATTAGACACTAATAAGTATATCTATATATCCATTCACCCTTTTTACCAAAAAAAGAAGAAGGTATATATATATATATACACAAAGTGGTCATTATATATACCAAAACTAGACAGAACAGTGAAGCGAAAGAAAGATGAAAGCTAGAATAGTCGTAGTGGGGATTTTGCTGTCAGTGGGTTTGGTCACTCCGACAATTACCACAACTGATGCCACATCAAACCCTCACGCGGAGAACGCAGACGCAGACGAGGAAAAGCCATTGAAGAGAAGCAGAAGCTGCGACCCTTTGTACCATTACTTGTTCGGAATCTGCGGCCACTGGCCTTTCCCCACAACCCCTTCCCCCGAGAACCCCTTCCTCCCCACCGCACCGCCGCGTCCGCATCCGCGTCCAAAACCCTCACCGCAGCTTCCACCGCCACCACCACTTGTTCCGTCCCCGCCACCGCCCGCGGTGATTAATCCGCCATCTCCGCCGTTGGTTCCTTCACCACCTCCGCCGCCTCTGGTTACTTTACCGCCTCCGCCGCCTCTTGTCCCTTCACCGCCGCCTCCATCTCCACCTCCACCTCCACCTCCGCCGTTAGTTCCATCGCCTCCACCCCCGTCGCTAATGATCCCTCCACCACCCCAGGTGATAGTTTTCCCACCGCCGCTGGTTCCGTCACCGCCGCCGCCGCAACCAGGTGGATTTCCAGTGACGCAGCCGCCGCCGATATGGTTGCCGCCTCCCGAAGACAATACGCCGGGGTTCTCACTTTCGCCGCCGGCGCCGGAGGAAGAGTTTCCGCCGATGCCACCGATAACATGGTTGCCGCCGCCGGAAGTTCCCGGCGAGGCCTCACCAGCAGAGCCATTTGATCAGCTTCCTCCGCCTTCGTGGCAGTCTCCTCCGTTCAAACACTGAGAATTTAATCCCTCCCATGTTTTCCTATCATCAGCTGTAACGAACAATTTGATATCTTCTATTCAATAATTATTTCATAGAAATTCTTGAGCGTATATCCATAATAATTTATAAGAAAATTTGGGCCGAGAAAATATTGTAAAATGGGCCTTTGAGAACAACGAGAGAGAAGAAGCCCAAGGTTATATCAGTAATTTTATGTCGCCGGTATGGCGATCCTAAGATTTCTAAATCCTGATCCTTTAATCCATGTTTTACTACAGTGTTCCATAGGTGTGTTTTTCAAAAAAAAAAATTATAAGTTAAATAATAATATAAGATTAAATAGTTTCACTTAGAGATTTTTTGGTGGTTGTTTTTTATGTGTTATAAAAAATAGAAGAGATCGTTTTTTTATAACGAGTGTAAAGACAAAGGTGGAGTTGGAGTTAGATATGGAGATACCAGTTCCCCATTGGTCAGAAATCTATCCACGACAGCTTCCAAGATTTCCACTTTAGATTCTCGTTATCCCACCACCTGTCCCTCTAATAATCCTCCTTTTGATTCTTTTGATCCGAATCACTATCAGACACAGACACCTACAGACCCAGGAACAGATAGAATCAGATCTCATGGCGGTCTCTGGAGCAGTGCTTAACGGGCTCGGCTCGTCCTTTCTCTACGGTGGGAAGAGGAGCGCCGCCGCATTGGACAGAGGATTCGGCGGCGGAGCGGCCAGAGTCGGCCGGAGAACGTTCGTCGTCGTGGCTGCTGCGGCTGCTCAGCCGAAGAAATCTTGGATCCCCGCCGTCAGAGGCGGTGGTAACCTCATCGACCCCGAATGGCTCGATGGCTCGTAAGTCCCTCTGAAAAAAGTTACTTCTATACATAATCTCTTGAGTCCTACGATTCCAAATAGGAGGAGGAGCCCCGCCGCATTGGACAGAGGATTCGGCGGCGGAGCGGCCAGAGTCGGCCGGAGAACGTTCGTCGTCGTGGCTGCTGCGGCTGCTCAGCCGAAGAAATCTTGGATCCCCGCCGTCAGAGGCGGTGGTAACCTCATCGACCCCGAATGGCTCGATGGCTCGTAAGTCCCTCTGAAAAAAGTTACTTCTATACATAATCTCTTGAGTCCTACGATTCCAAATATCTCCAATGCCCAGAAAGAATACAAACGCAAACTCCGAATATTGATGAATAGTAACCCACATGGAATTTAATGGAAAAACCAAATCTTTACGTACTCTCAAGAGTCCTACGAAGTGAATATCAGATCGTAATGTCTCTTTCTTTTATATGAATTTCACAGACTACCCGGCGATTACGGGTTCGACCCGTTGGGTCTAGGAAAAGACCCGGCGTTTCTGAAATGGTACAGAGAAGCAGAGCTGATCCACGGTCGGTGGGCGATGGCGGCGGTGGTCGGAATCTTCGTCGGTCAGGCCTGGAGCGGCATCCCGTGGTTCGAAGCCGGAGCCGACCCAAGCGCGATCGCGCCGTTCTCGTTCGGGTCGCTCCTCGGGACCCAGTTGCTCCTCATGGGTTGGGTCGAGAGCAAACGTTGGGTCGATTTCTTCAACCCGGACTCTCAATCCGTCGATTGGGCAACACCGTGGTCTCGAACCGCCGGAAATTTCTCGAACGCGACGGGCGAGCAGGGTTATCCCGGCGGGAAATTCTTCGACCCGTTGGGTCTCGCCGGAAAAATCCGCGACGGCGTCTACGTGCCCGACACGGAGAAGCTGGAGAGGCTAAAACTGGCGGAGATTAAGCACGCGAGGCTCGCAATGCTTGCCATGTTGATCTTTTACTTTGAGGCTGGTCAGGGAAAAACGCCGCTCAGTGCTCTTGGTTTGTAAGAGAACGGCACGGTGGTTTTTTGCTTTTGTAAGGGATGTGCCCACTACTCGTCACATTCCTGTGAATTTGTAAATCCTATCTACTTGTGCAATTAGTAAGTATAAATCTAAAAATTATAAACAACATTCAAATTTTATATGCACTTACTATTATATTCATGAATATGTGAAGAATCTTTCCTAATAAATCCTTGATTTCTTTTTAAAAAAAAGGTTCAAACAATATTTTCTATAAATATATAATTGTCAATACAAATGAAGGAGTAATTATGGTGGAAATCTGCCCAATAAATACGAAGGTGTTTAGGAAAACTAATTAGATTTCCTAAGGATATAATTATTAATTATCTAAAACTAAAATTTGAACGCTTTTGTGAGGGATGTGGGACCCGGGAATCCACCAATCAACAAAACTGAAAACAGAGCGTAAAAGGCGAGAGCTTTTTCTTCCTCGACTCCGAGAGAATCCATGGAATTACCAGAGGAATGCTGGGAATTGATCTGTAAATCCTTCGATCACCATCGCTACTATGAATCTCTTTCACTTGTATCCACCTCCTTTCTCTCCGTCACCGACCGCATCCGCTCCTCTCTCACCATCACCGACCAGACCGTCCCGTTCCTACCTCGGCTTCTCCGTAGGTTCCGGAACCTGAGGCGCATCAGGTTCCGTGACTTCCGGGGGAATATTGATTCGGTTCTTATGCAGGTTTCGCTATCTGGGTTGGATCTCGAAACGGTTGATTTGTCGGGAATGGAGAGTTTTCCGGATTTGGCGAAATCAGTGTTGAAGATGCTGAATTTGAAGGAATTGATTTGTTCTGGAGCTAAGGGTTTAGGAGACGGCGATTTGGTAGCGATCGGAACGTGTTTCCCGTCTCTCCAGGAGCTGGACATTAGCTATCTCGAGACCAGACATGGTTGTCCTTCGAGCCCTGTCTCTGATTCTGGGGTTATCAGTCTCTCTTCAAAGCTCAAGAGACTATCGAAGCTCAATTTATCTGGTATTCATTTCATCACTGATAGATCTTTGATTTCTCTGTCTCAGAATTGTGTTCTTTTGAGAGAAGTCATTGTTCGTGATTGCGACTTCATCACAACTGATTCCATTAGTTTCGTTCTACACAATTCTCAAAACTTGGAATCTCTTGTTGTCACCGGAATTGGGTTGAATCCGAGGGAAACCTTTTCGTTTGCTGGAGAACTATCCGAGCTTGAGCTCTCGGATTCGTTTATATCTGATGAGTTGCTCTGTTTGATGGCTAATGCTAACTTCCCTCTTAAGAAACTTGTTCTCTCCAATTGCTACTGTTTCACCTTTGACGGGATACTGCTTTTGTTATCGAAGTACCAAAACCTTGTTCACCTGGATCTCGAAGGATCCACCTTTCTCTCTGATGAGATGATTATGGAATTAGGAATGTACATTAGGGGGTTAACCTTTGTGAACCTTAGTTTCTGTTCCAAGTTAACCGGTCTGGTATTCTTCTGCATCATTGAGAATTGTCTTCGGCTGAAGTGCATGAAAATGGAGGGGACAAATTTTGGAGTGGAGGAGTTTTCCAAGGAACTGGGTATCAAGTCGGGGATGAAGTCTTTGCAAATAGCTAGAAACAACAATTTGCATGATGAATGTCTGAAGAGGATAGCACGTCAATGCCCGTATCTTGAGTTGGTCAATGTGGCACAGTGTCCTGGTATCACGGGGGATGGGATTGTTGAAGTTGTGAAGAATTGCCATGAACTAAGCTCTTTGGATATCAGCAGATGTTCTGGCATTAAGAGTCTCACTGTAAATTTTGATCTTCCAAAGTTGGAGACTTTGAAAGCATGTGGGACTTGGATTGATGACGAGGTCCTTCATATAATCAGCAAGAGATGTCGGGGTCTGCTGTATCTTGATCTGGAGGACTGTTTGAATGTGACTTCGAGAGGGGTTAAGGAAATTGTGCCGAGCTGTTTGAGTTTGAGAGAGCTAAATCTTAGGCATTGTGAAGTTAGTGAAAAGGTTTTCACTTGGATGGTGTGTGCAAGTTCTTCTTTGAGAAAGATAGTTCCGCCATCTGCTTTGTTTTCTACTAAAAGTCTGAGGAATTTCTTCCTGCGTCATGGATGTGTTATTTGCATAGACAGAGAAGAGAGCATATTCGCTCCACATATACCATAAATTCTTCCTATGTAGTTTTTCTATCTTTCCCCCAAATGATTCTGCTAAATCTTGATAGCTGAGATCCTTGTACATCTGTTTCCTATTCTCATCAATTGCTTTCTGTTGCATGTCGTTTTATGAAATGAAATGTAATTGTTGATATAAAGAAAGAGTTCAAAGTGAAGGATTTATTTCACCTGGATAAGGTTTGGGAATTATCCTATGATGTTTCTCCCTTTTCTCAATTCTATTTTTGCTAACCTTTTTCTCTTGTTCTTCAATTTTTTCCCTTTATTTGGCTTCATTTTTTCAGAGAGACAGGTTGACGAAGATATGACTATGACAATGGCTAGACTGATCATTGACATTTGTGGAGCTCTTGGGCTGAGAAGATGCCCTTCTAAGAAGGTAATAACTATATTGTTTTAGTTAGAGTCATTTCAGTATCCAGATTTATTTGGTGCTTGATAAGATGGTATTTAGTTGAACATCTGAAACTCCTGACAATATCTCTGAAAGGTGCTCCTGTTGTGGAAATATTTCTAAGCATCCACAGATTGGTAAGATGCACACAAGTTCTAGCTCTCAAGGAATGTCTGTCAGAATCAGATAGCATATTCTTTGCGGTAACTTTGAGTATTCTCCGTGACCTCACAATACGCGACTCTGACATCTCGGAGATAGAGGTAGAAGTAATGGAGGCAAGGAGGTTTAGCCACCTTATTTTCGGAGTCTGAGCAACCCATGTTTCCAGAACCTCTCAAACGTGTCTATATACAACTGCAAAGGTCTGAGAGAATTGACATGGCTACTCTTTGCTCCAAATATCATTTCTCTTCGGGTGGTTGAGTCCTCAGAAATTGAAGAGATCATAAACAGGTCGAAGGCAGAGAGTACGCATTTTCCGAAACTGACATTCCTCTTGTTGGAAGATCTTAGCAAACTATGGAGGTTCTACTGGTGTCCTCTGCCCTTTCCTGATCTAAGGGAAATCTTAGTAACTGGATGTACCCTTCTAAGGGAACTTCCACTGAATTCAGACAGCGCCGAGAGCAAAACCTCGTCATAAACGCTGAGAGAGCATGGATTGCAAGACTTAGATGGGAGGACGAAGCTACTATGAAGCAGTTTTACCGATCTTGAATGGTCCTTTACCTCATCTCTCTCTCTCTCTCTCTCTCTCTCTGGTTTCAACTTCTGTTTTTTGTGCGCGGGATTTTTCTCAGTTTCTTGTTTGTCCAAATTTTGTTGTTGTTGTATGTGTTCAGATTGTTTCTTGATTGATTCTTGCTACATCTCTGGACTTCAGAATTTGCTGTTGCTGCTGTTGAATTTCTGTTGTTGGATTTTGCTGTTGATGATGTACTTCTGATGAGTTTAACACTTCTCCCTGTGGTTTATTCAGTCTGAAGAATTTCTGACCAAGAAATGTACAAAGAAGAGAGGCTCAAGAGAAATGTAAGAAATGACTTGTTCCAGAGAGGACTTTATTATCATGTTAAATGATGATGGCATACAGAGATATCCAGACATAACTTCATCTCTTGCTAAAGCTGTGAAGATCCAAACTGAAACACTGCATCTTTTGCTGAGGAAATAGGATCAAAGTCTACAAAAACCAATCACAGTAAAACAAAAACGTAAAACACTTTCCAGTAAAACATGGACTTTCCTCTGCTATACTTCAGATTCATGAGGTTTCACCAAGAAGTTCAGTTTTTGTAATCCGGGTTGTCACGAAGGCCGAGTTTTGACAGAGCAATGCAATAGTCATCCCACTCTTTC